CAACCAGGTGTTTCAAAAGGAAGGGACCATTCATTGTCCTTGGTTATGGTGATATGGAAGGGTAGAGAAGGCTAGTGAATGGTATACTTGACCTCAGTTGAGCTATGAATTAGGTACAGCTAAGCAGGTGGAGAGTTGGGGAAGAGTATTCTAGATTTAGGGAGGAATTCATATGAATCTATGCAGCTTAATCTGAAACTGGCTGAAGATCTGGTGGACTGGTCGTAACCAGAGGAGAGGCGGTCATGGAAGTGAGTTATTATGTGGAGAAAAGAAACTATAAGGATGGATCGCAAACACAGATTTTTAAACTGGGGCTGAGGAAATAATACAAAAGAACAAATAGGACGAAGTAGAGAGAGTGGTGAATTGGAGATTTTCTTAGGGAAGCTCTCTGCTCGGCGCGGAGCCTGCTTCTCCCTCTCCCTCTGCCTGCCTCTCTGCCTACTTGTGCTTTCTTTCTCTGTCAAATAAATAAGTGGAATCTTAAAAAAAAAAAAAAATTTGGTGTTTATAAAGAAGTTGATCTTGTAGAAGTTGAAATTCTGTGATAAAATCATCTAATTTCTAACCTTTGTTTTGATTAATTATATGAAGAGGCTAAGGTTCTTTATATTAATGTATTAAGATTCACGTTTATTTTTTAGGTAGCTAGTGCAGATAAGACACTAGAGCCAGTTAATTTACTAACATATCTATAAATGAAATCATCTTTCTAACATTTTTTTCTTCCTTCTCTTGGCTTCTTGGTTCATAAAGAGGACAAGACAAAATGGAGGCAGAATTATCAGTGTTAATATTAACTCAAGTGATAGCATAATTGTATTGGTCAGGGGTAGGTTAAAAAGTGAATTCTTTAGTTATTTTAAGAAATCAGATGAGTGAGTACTAACGCTTAATATAGCACTTCACTGTTTAGAAAAGTCACATTTAATCAGTAGATTCAAAATCCTTGGAGATTAAGCATGCATATTTTACAAAATAGGCAATAGCATCTGGCCCTGGTGAGAGGACCGTGATTCATATGCGGGTCTTCTGACCCTCAAGTCCTGTTCCAATCACCTTTCTTTTCTCTGTCAGATGACTGTTAAATAAATCTGACTTGAGTCTTGTCCAAGGGAGCTAAGTCATGCAACAGCCAGATGACTTTGTAAGGAGTGTGACTTAATTTTACGATGTGCTCTAAAGACAGTATTATAGTGCAGTGTTACTAATCACAAATAAAATGTAAAGTTATGATGGACTTATTTGTTATAGTCAGTACATTTCATGTTCAGTTTTGATTTTAAATCAAGTGGTGAGGACCGCGGAGTCCTCTCGAGGCATGATGGAGAAGAGGCTATCATCCGGCAGGCTTTAGGATGGCATATATTTAGGGTAACTCTTCCCCTAAACTAGACTAAATCTCAGTTGCTTCATACGCTTTAACTTTAAAGCGTAACCCCCTGCCTTTTATTTTCTTTTTTTAACTTCCAGAGAATTATTTTGGCATGTTAGATTATTTCACAGGGATATTATATTTGGCTAAAAACCCATTTCTGAATAACCGTTATTTTGTCTGCCCGTATAAATACAGTTCTGATTTCAAATTGTGGTTTGAATTAGTGTTCGGTTTTTGTGGAGAAATACTCAAAATCTCTGATGGGAGGAAAATCAGGGTGCCTAGAGAAAAAGAGAAGTCCATAGGGACCTTTGAAGTCAGTATTTGACTTTCTTTTCTAAGCCTTTCCTAGTTAGTACCATTCTTCCAAGCCTTCCCTCCAAATTCTGAGGGGTTTTTTGTAGACTTTAATATCAGAATATGTTTAAACTACTACTTGCATTTGAAACAGCCCTCTGCATGCCTGCAGGGATATGCAGAGTTATCAGTTTTCTATCACATTAGTTTAGGACTAACTTGTATTCTGATGAGTTTAAGAAATTTTTACCCTATTATTTTGGCCATTAGGATGTTTTGATCTTACCTTTCAGAACAGAGATTTTAATCAAAATTACGCCGATACTATTGAATTTCATCAAGAAAATATCTTTGACTTGAACTTTATTTATTTATTTATTTTTAAAGATTTTATTTGTTTATTTGATAGAGAACACAGGCAGGGGGACCGGGAGAGGGAGAAGCAGGCTCCTTGCTGAGCAGGGAGCCCGATGCAAGGCTCGGGAGCTTAGGGTTGCACCCTGAACCAAAGGCAGATGCTTAACCGACTGAGCTATCCAGGTGCCCCGAACTTGATTTTTATTAAAGATTTATTTATTTATTTTGTGAGAAAGAGAAGAGGGGGCCAAGAGGGGAATGGCGAGAGTGGGGGCAGAGCGAGAGAATCTCAAGCAGACCTCCTGCTGAGCGCAGAGCCTGATGCTGGACTTTGTCCCACGATCCCAGGATCCTGACCTGAGCCAAAATCAAGAGTTGGATGCTTAACTGACTGAGCAACTCAAGTGCCCCTTGATTTGAACTTTATTAAGATAGATTTCTTGATCTGTTTTTATAGAGCAAAATTAAGTTTTTCTAGATTATTTTATTAAAGTTTTAATCAGAGCAAAATCAACTTTTTGCTCTGTCAATTTTACTCTGAAGATGTCTATCATTCAGTTTTATCTTTCTTTTTTAAATAAGAGACAGTATATTATAGTGGTTACATTCTGGTTATGCTCCAAAGCAGTGCTATCCAATAAAAATATAATGCAAGCCACATGTTTAGTAGCCATGTTAAAGCAATTGAAGTTAATCTTAGTCACATTTTATATAGTTCAGAATATTATTATTTTAATATATAATCAATATAAAAAATCATTAATTTGGGAAGAATGTAGATGGAGATCTGAGAGGAAGGGAAAGTGGAGGTAAATTTGACCTCTGTTTCTCTGCTACCTTTCCATAGTGGGGGAGGATGAAACAGAAGACTCTGCCCATCGTTACTCTGGCTCTTACTGTAGTCCATGAGTGGGATGGTTAATTGAGAACATCGACAAGAGATTAATTTACTTGCTGTTCTTCCTCCGAATAGTTGAGAATTCTAACATTCAGAATGTAGTGATAGAAAGGGCCCAGATAGCAGCATGTGTTCATAGTATATACATGCATGTTAAGAATCTAAAATGTCTTTTACTGACTCAGATTTTATAGTAATCTTGTTCTCTCTCTCTCTCTCTTTTTAATGTCCAAGCTTAAATTCCTTACTGGAAAGACAGGAAAGGAAACGTTGGTAGTAGATTTTCCAAACACAAACCTTGCTTTTATAATATGGTTATGGCAACCATCTCTATTTTGGTAAAGTTAGCCTATAAATGAATTACATTTTGCAATTTAGATTTATGCAATTTAGAAGAACCACAAGCCATTGCAAACCGTTAAACTGGACATTTTTGTGTATACGTTTAGTACTTTAACAGAATAGTAGGCATTGTGCAAGGGGGATTGAAAACATAAAGCAAGTGGACCTGGCTAATCTGTAGGGTTCAGAGAAAACTTTGAGGAAGTGACCTATGAACTTAGATGTGAAGGTGAATAGGAGTTAATAAGTGTCCCGATGGAAAAGAGCTTTTCAGGTAGAAGAAAAAACATATGCAGAAGTCTTGTAGTAGGAATTGAGAGTCCGGAAATAAACCATATATATCTGATCAGTTGGTTTTCAACAGAGGTGCCAAAAGAATAGTTTTTTCAAAACGTGGTGCTGCAACAGCTGGGTGTCTACATGCACAAGAACGAAATTGATCCCTTACCTTATACCGTGTGTGTAAATTAACTCAAAATATATCATAGACCTGCATTTTAGAGTTACATTTATAAAAAATCTTAGAAGAACACACAGGAATAGATCTTTGTGATGTTGAATGTGACTCTGAAAGCACAGGTAACAAAAGAAAAAAGTTGAACTTCATCGAAATTAAAAACTTGTACTTCAAAGGATAACATCAAGAAAGCAAAATGACAACCCACGGAATGGGAGCAAATATTTGTGAGTCCTGTATCTGACAAGGGGACTTGTATCCAGCTACCACCAGTAAAATGCAGCATAATACAAAGTCTAGTTTTGTGGAAAGAGGTCAGAGTCTAGTTGTTTGGATTGGAGTATTTCTTGATTTGAAAAGTAGAGCTCTGCTGCAGAGCAATCTCTTCTCTTCTTTCAGAACCAAACTTGTAATCTAGCTTGGATAAGCATCTACTTCAGCTCAAATTATCCATTTCTGAGGTGACAGGTACCAAAACTCCATGGGTCTGGCTGAGAGTTCCTTTGTCCGGGAATAGTTGGCCCTGTGGCATGGTCGGATTTATGAACAGGGTATATCTCCTGTTGTAATTCTAGACTGTGCCTGTAACACTGCTTGGATTCCAGCTGTTCCACCAAGATTTTACAGATTTTGCTGCTTCTTTAAATAAGAATTATAAAATGAAGTAGTCCAACATTCTTCTGAATTAATCATAAAAGTTATAGATATCTTGATTAGTATGTTAGAACCAGTGATCTGAATTGGGTTTTACAACCTGTATACCTCAGAATACTCTGTCCTCTGAGCTGCATCCGGAGCCATGCTCTTAGTTATATTAAATACTCTTCTTTGCTCACCAAAAACCAGAGTCCAGCCAGGAAAATGGGAAAAGGAAAATCTAAAATTGTCCTTTCCATTTCTCCCCCATTAAAGAGAGGCTCTGGAAATGTTTTATGCAAGGAAGCAGTGCTGAAAAATCTCTTTTTTGCTTTTAAGTTTATGAAGAGGATGAAAACCTGTTTTTGGTGTTTAAATTTTCTATTAAACAATTGAATACTTTATTGGGGATAAACTGTGTCAATAAAAGCGTACTCTGGCTGTTGGGTAATTTCTATACCAGAAAGCCCAGTTTCTGAACCAAAGAAGAGATGGAAGTCATTAAATATTACTAATTAGAATAAGTGTACATATTCGGAATTTGCAGTGAAGATGTTATAAATCTCATTGTATATTCATCCAGGCTATTTTAATCAGTTAATGATTATTTTTATTCACATGTTTTAAAACAGATGAACTCCGACAAGAAATGCTGGATGATGTACAAAAGAAATTGATGAACTTAGTAAACAGCACAGAAGGAAAAGTGGACAAGTATGCTTTTTTTAACTTTTATGTATTTTATGGAGACTACCTTTATGGGAAAAACAGCCGCTACGTGTAGATGTTTATATGCGATTAAGTTTTTAAAAGCCTTTTCTTGTATGGTGATGAGATGTAGGTCATTTTCGTGAGGAGTATGTAGAATAACTTCTCTTGATTTTTTAAATGGCTTTATCCCGGCTCAAATTCTTTTTCTTAAAACCATATGGAAGAATTAAAACATCACCATGCTAGGAAGTACCTGAAATAAAAACTTTTATTCTTAGCAGTCTTTCTAGCTCCCTCTTGCTCTCCTTCAATGAACGTACCTTGCTTCAGTGTATTAGGTCTGGAACCTGGGTGTATATGTAACATATCATTAATATTTTAAAGATTTAGATATTACTAGCAAATTTGTAATAAGTGTGAGTGGGGAACTATGAGCATACTTGTGGTGAAGCACAAGTGCTATCCTCACCATTCGAGGCGAGGAGGGAGACATCGGGAGTGTCTAAAGGCAGAAGCCAGACAGACACTGACTGTCACTGAGCACTGTCTCAGGTGGTCGATTCGATGGGAGAAAATGGGCGATAACTGATGTTGTAAAAGGTACGCATTTTTAGATTGTTTGAAATGTCTTTGTTTAAAGTTGTCAAGAGGTTTTCTTTTTAAGTATTCCAAAATATTTTGTTGTTTACAGTTTTTTGGTAACTTTTTAAAGTATAATTAAATACCTATATGTTTAATGTTTATTGTGGTTTACACTGAATATGGGGATAACTGGGATAACTGTTGAGTTAACCTGAGCTATTCTTTATTTTCACAGAGTCCTAATGAGAAACCTCTTCATCGGACATTTCCACACGCCCAAACATCAGCGCCACGAGGTGCTGCGGTTAATGGGAAGCATCCTGGGCATCAAGAGGGAGGAAATGGAGCAGGTAACTAAACGATGGAAAGCCATCCTGAGTATGTTTATAACTAAACTGTGGCATCCCATAAAATTGTCTCCTTTTACTCTATATTATACAGCTTTTCCATTTTCTTAGTAAAGTGGAAATGGACCAGTTCACACTGGTGAGGAATATGGATATAGTGACTTTGGATATGATATATGGATATGTATCTTCATATAGTGAAGGGGTGCATTTGTTCAACTTGTGTAATACTAGCTTTGTCACTTATAAGCCACCTCTCCTGTCAAAATGCTGACATTTGGAGACATGACAGTCTTCAACTCTGATTTAGTGCTTGGGATGACATTTTATTGTATTTATAGCCTCTCTCAGTGGGAGACATTTACTAGGAATTGGGCTTGAAAAGCATAGTGTGCTACCACTGAAATCAAGTAAAAATAGTTCTTATTTTTTTCTTTTCTTGTGTTGATAATATTTTTCTGTTTTAAAATAATCTTTCAGTTGCTTCACGAAGGTCAAGGTGGTGTTACCAAGTGGATGACTGGGTGGCTTGGAGGAGGATCAAAAAGTGTCCCCAACACGCCTCTGAGACCAAATCAACAATCTGTGCTTAATAATGTAAGAGCCAGTTTTATTCTTGCCCCGAATAGGAGTGGTGAAATGGTTGTGCATCACATACATTTGCAAAAATCAGATTTCTTTTTTAGATTTTTTTATTATAGAGCCCTTTTATTTTGGGTTTGTGGAAACTGAGATCCAGAGAGGTGATTAGCTTAAGGATAATAAGCCAGTTTATTAATTACAGTGTAATATATTTATTTATTTATTAACATTATTTATTTATTTATTTGATAGAGAAATCACAAGTAGGCAGAGAGGCAGGCAGAGAGAGAGGGGGAAGCAGGCTCCCCACTGAGCAGAGAGCCTGATGCGGGGCTCGATCCCAACACCCCGAGATCATGACTTGAGCTGAAGGCAGAGGCTCAACCCACTGAGGCACTCAGGTGCCCCTGTTTATTTATTTTTAAGGATTTTACTTAGGTATTGGCAGAGAATACAAGCAAGGGGAGGAGCAGGGAGAGGGAGGAGCAGGTCCCCCACTGAGCAGGGAGCCCAGTGCAGGGCTTGATCCCAGGACCCTGGGATCATGACCTGAGCCAAAAGCAGATGCTTAACTGACTGAGCTTCCCAGGTGCCCCAATTAGCCAGTTTAAATATTTTATTGCATTTATGTTTTATTCTAGCTTTTTATTTATATAGTACTTTTGTTTTTCATAGTATTAGGTACTTTTGTATTTGATCATGCTGCTATAGGCACAGGGTCTTTTATCTTACTACTAAATTATGAGATTCTTAATGACGGAGGTTTTATTTTATGCATGTGTGTGTCTGGTCATTGAGCACTTACTGAGCACCTGCTGTATACCAGACTGTTCTCAACTTTGGGGATACAGCAGCAAACCAGAAGACAAAGTGCCTGCCCTCAACAAACTTAGATCATGGCAGGAGGAGGCAGTTAATAAACATGAACACACAGTGCCTGGTAGTCTGAATGAACAATAATACATTGAGTAAGCTTGGGGGCACCTGGGTGGCTCAGTCGGAAGGACATGTGACTCTTGATCTCGGGGTTGTGAGTTCAAGCCCCATGTTGGGTGTAGAAATTACTTAAAAACTAAAAAACTAAAATTGAGTAGCTCTGTGAATTAGAATATGGAGTTTGCTTCTTTATTTTACTTTGTTTTTTGTTTTTGTTTTTGTTTTAAAGATTTTATCATTTATTTGACACAGAGAGACATAGAGAGAGAGGGAACCCAAGCAGGGGGAATGTTGAGAGGGAGAAGCAGGCCTCCCGCGGAGTGTGGAGCCTGTTGTGGGGCTCGATCCCAGGACCCCGGGACCATGACCCGAGCTGAAGGCAGACACTCAATGACTGAGCCACCCAGGCACCCCTACTTTGTTTTTTAATAAAGAAGAAATTGAGGCTAAGTAACATACCCAGGGCTGTTTGAAGATTAAAAATATGCCCTATTTTAAATCAGATGGCATGAAACTTACTTTAAAGGAAAGTTCTAATGGTATCTGGCTGGCTTAGTCGGTGGAGCAGGGGTTGTGGGTTTGTGCCCCATGTTGGGTGTAGAGATTACTTAAAAATAAAATCTTTTATACTATATTATTTTAATCTGATAATTGGTGAGTTTTTGCTGTATTCATTGACCAAGTATTACTGTTTAATACTTGTTTTCTATATTGTGTTTCATGTCCACGTAAACAGTAAAATGATTTAAGACTTGGATGTCCTAAGTGCCATTGATGGCAGGAAATTTCAGTGTCATTGGGTAGCTAATTATGACTAAGTTCTGTAACAAATGTCATCAAACAATATTGATTATATTGCTGAAGGTTTTAATGGATAAACTTAACTAAAGCACTAATAGTTTTCATGGTTCATAAAGCTTAATTATAAAGAAATGATTCAGAAGGCATGATTCGTTTTTTTATATTTAGAGTTGCTACATTTTCTTGGTTGTAGTGAGTATAATTTAATATCTGCCTAAAATAACCCAAATATTTCTTTAGTCTTTTTCAGAACTTTTTGTTAAATTTCTAGAAACAGAATCTCATCCATCTGTTCCACCACCAAAGCTTTCTGTTCATGATATGAAACCTCTGGATTCACCAGGAAGGAGAAAAGCAGTTACAAATGTACCGGAAAGTTTTAAAGGTAAGACCAGATACTTATTTTTTCTATAATTTAAAAAAGTTGAATGTTTAATTTGTGATTGTTTTATAGTGATCTTAACTAAATTTTTAGTATTTTTGAAAATGTGCAGTGACTTCTTCCAAAATTCCAATAAAGCATTAGATTTTGGCTTCATATATTTTGTAGCAATCTGATATTTAATTAGCTTAGATTAACCTAAACAATATGAAGTATTTTTCCTTTGTATATTGGAATAATTCTTCTCTCTACATAAGCCACTTGGAATTATTCTTGGAAGTGCTGGTGAACCACTATACCTTTGCTTGGTCACCTGTTTTTCTCTCATACTAAGTAATGGTACTTATTGCTAAATTAGAGTTGAAAGTGTAGTTTATGTTCACATTGTGTCAGTTTCTCTGTTATAAATTCTTTTTTTAAGATTTTATTTATTTATTTGACAGAGATCACAAGTAGGCAGAGAGGCAGGCAGAGAGAGAGGAGGAAGTAGGCTCCCTGCTGAGCAGACAGCCTAATGCGGTGCTCGATCCCAGGATGCTGGGATCATGACCTGAGTCGAAGGCAGAGGCTTTAACGCACTGAACCACCCAGGCGCCCCTCTCTGTTAAAAATATTGCTGTGATGGGGCGCCTGGGTGGCTCAGTGGGTTGGGCCGCTGCCTTCGGCTCGGGTCATGATCTCAGGGTTCTGAGATCGAGTCCCGCATGGGGCTCTCTGTGCAGCGGGGAGCCTGCTTCCCTCTCTCTCTCTCTCTCTGCCTGCCTCTGTCTACTGTGATAGCTCTCTGTCAAATAAATAAATAAAATCTTTAAAAAAAAAAATATTGCTGTGATGAACATCCTTGATAAATTTTTGCACACATCATTAATGTTTCCCTTAAGATAAATTTCTGAAAGTATAATACCTACATGTAGACATTTCTTAAGAATTAAAATATAACAGCAAATTACCCTCAAAAAAAAAGTGTAGTTTATAGTTAGAGAAAGGTTTTTTTTCCCTGTGAACATCTAAGTGTTACATTCAATAACCAAACCTTGGTATGTTAGTAATATTTACAAGAGCAGTTTAGTAAACTGGCTTAGACATCCAAGAATATATTGACGCATTCTTATACCTTATACTTGCCTGGAAGCAAATGGTTTGGTTGTTCTGGGATCTGTATGTATGGTTTTCTATCTCACTAGGTTGTAAGGGCCTTACAAGGGACTTATGTCCCCTATATTATAGGCATACAGTGACTTTTCTTGAGGTGAAATTGAAGTATAATCCATTAGACAATAAACATTATTAGAAACTCTCTCTTTTATTTAAAATCTTTGTATTTTAATACAGACTAAAATCTTAGCTAGTTGGACTGTAAAGGTGTATGTTATATACTCTCAGGCTTATTTCACATCAGGTACTTAAATTTGGATAAAATATTAAAGAATTTATATTTCAGAATTTTAAAAAACTCTCTTAAAGTCTAATTTAGCTGAATATTTCTATTTTCCTGAACTTTTATATAAAGAAAAATGATAAAATTTGTTTTGATAAAAGGTTTGGCTCCTAAATTCATTAAAAGGTCTTCACTTTATCTAACAGCTATAGACTGTATACTAAAAACACTTTATTCTTGGGGTGCCTGGGTGGCTCAGTTGGTGAAGCGTTTACATTCTGCTCAGGTCATGATCTCAGGGTCCTGGGATTGAGCCCCACATCAGGTTCCTTGCTCAGCGGGGAGCCTGCTTCTCCCTCTCCCTCTGCCACTCCCCCTGCTTATACTCTTTCTCTCTCTCTCTCTCTCTGTCAGATAAATAAATAAAGTCTTTAAAAACAAACAAAACCACACTTTTTTCGTAGCAATCCATCTTCAGGTGGATTTCAAAATTCATTATGGTAACGTCTCCTACTCCCTGTCCTCCCTTCCCCCTCCATCTCTTCCCCTTCTTCCCTCTCTTCTTTCCTTTTCTCTTCCTCTTCACTTATCAAGACATGTGCCCACCTTGGTTTGGAATGATCAGAGACAAAAGCCAGTGATGTTCAGAGCTGGTACAGGGTTTACATTAAAAAACAACAGCAGCACCAAATAAGCTTAGTCTTTAATCCTGGATTTGGAAGTGTGTGGCAAGGGTCAGAGCTTACAAAGGAGCACCGGAAGCTTTTCCAGAGTTTGGAAAGTTACCATTTAGAGGGAAGGAAAGCTTGGGGACCCAGGATGCTCAACGTTAAGTTGACTGGATGAATTTGTCTCAGTGCTTTCTTTGTTTTAGAAGCTTTTGCTTTTTTTTTTTTTTTTTTTTTTGGTGGTACTTGTGTTTTAGGGAGTTAGTCTTCTTGGGTAATAAGGCAGAATTCTAACCACCAGGACATTAGAGCATTAACAGATACCTATTCCAATAAAAAAACGAGTTTCAGCATAACTTGATAGAGAAATAATCTAACAGAGAATTGTTTCAAACCTTTGTATGTCTAAAAAAGGATCAGGTTTTTCTTCGGTTAAATTAATATTAAACTTGATTTTTATCACTGTGGAATTGGTGCCAGTTATTTTCATGGCCCTCATAATTATTGGGGGAAAAGGAGTTTTCAAGTCCTTCAGTCTTTCAGGTGAGTAGTTAGAAAATTTACATTGTAACGTAGAAAACACCACCTGAAAAGCCGTCATTAAAATAAGTGAAGTTCATCAGTTATATAACTGGTATTTGAGTATCAAACAATATTAATGTGTTTAATAAAGTGTTAGTGTACATACAGCTCTTCCTCCCTCCCCTGTTCTTTCTCCATTCCTTTTGCTTCCTGTCTTGTCTTTTTTTACCCTTTTTATGTTACAGAACCTGCTTAGGGGGTCCAGACCCAGCAGCATAGGAATTAAGTTTATTTGAGGGCCAAATCTAGGAACGTAAAACACATGTATAGTGTTAACTGATAATATATAGGAGACTGAATAACTTGCATTTTATTGTCTAGATACCGCAGAATCCAGATCTGGTAGAAGAACAGATGTGAATCCGTTCTTGGCTCCCCGCTCTGCGGCTGTGCCTCTCATTAACCCAGCTGGACTTGGACCCGGTGGGCCCGGGCATCTTCTTTTGAAACCCATCTCAGATGTCTTGCCCACATTTACACCTTTGCCAGTGTCACCTGACAACAGCGCCGGAGTTGTGTTGAAAGACCTTTTAAAGCAATAGGTGATTCCCAAACCAGAGACAACATACGTAGCACTTTAAAGAAACCGCAAACACTATATGTATGTACTCTCTCACGAAGTGGCCTTTCAGAAAAAGTCATGTATTTGTTTGCAGTTGTACATTCTCTAAACTTAATAAAAATATTCTTTTTGCTTTTAGAAATTGCAGGTGTCACAGGAGGAAGTGTTTGCTATATTACGTACTTTTTTCCTTCTCTGATTTGACCTAATTTAAGCTAGAAACATTTGATCTTTCATCTTAATTTATAAAAAATAAGAAAAATATAAAGATAAAAATTTATAGTAGCTATATATCAGCTCTTTATCTTTTTGATTTTCAAGCTCATTTAAGCTAGAGACATGTGGTTTATCTTTTAAAGGTAATCAAGAAATTTCCAAAAAGGAGAAAATAATAGTAGTGGCTTATCTGTATAGTGCAAACAATTGATCTGAAGCATATATGGGTCATTTTTTTCCCCCCTTAAGCCCTCCTGAGAGGACTTGGTGTAGACAGGCCAACAGCAGGGTTGTCCCTGGGAGATCGCAGGTGTCCTGAGGTGGAATGTGCGTGTGTTTGGTTCTTTGCGGTTGTATCACACGCGTGGGTTGATGTGATCAGCGCTGCGGTGCCATGCAGATACCCAGCAGTTTCGTCAAGCCTTGGAGCTGCCGTGCTCCTCCTTCCCGCCCATTCCTGCCTGACCCCGGGAACCACTGACTGCTTTCCAGCTCCGTAATTGGGTCATCTCAAGAGTGCTGTGTAAATGGACTCAGGCAGCATGTAACCTTTGCGAGGGGCTTTTTTCACTCAACATAATTCCCTGGAGACCCATCCTCATTGTTATGTGTATCAGTCATTTGTTCCTTTTCAACGTTGAGTACATCTGGTGGGGATGTGATTGAGTTTAAAGAGCCAAGGTATCTTTTTAAAGGTATCATCTCAAAACCGTTTGCTCACACATGCGCGCCCAGCTTTCGTGTAAGTGTTAAGTCAAAAACAGGTGCGCTCGCGTACCTACAATTAGCAATGTCACTGAACGGGAGACTTCCTGCCTCTGTCTGGGGTGGGGTGGAAGAGGTTCGTCGATCCGGGAGTCCCCTATTCTCATCCTCGCCGTCACTGAGGGTAGTGACGTCAACCCCACCAGCACTGGGTGTTCGCAACCCAAGAGAAGGGAGTAGTTCTTTAATTTTTCACAAACCCATCCTAAAAAAGTCTTGACCTGGAGCTTCATTTTATCAGGATGTTCGTGTTTTTATTAGTCGTTGGGAGTTGTACATTTATGCGAATTTTGTAAATTTCAGTATGCCTTGAAAACAGAAACATCTGTATAACAAGGAAAGGTGAAAATAATACTAATCCAAATATGTAAATAGGCCTGGCCCGGACCAGGGCTCAGTTTGTTTATTTGTAAATTTCGTTGTAACTGTCTACTGTATTTAGATTGGAGGATTAGAAGTCTTCATGTATGGATGGGTAAAGCTTGTTTTTTTCTGAAATGTTCAGTAGCCAAGATGTCGCTGCCTCAGAGCATCACCTGTCTCCCGAGCTAATGTATTTATATATATCGCTGTTCTTTGTTCAGTCCACTTTAAAGGAAATTGTTGTACAGGTTCTATATTAGAACTGTCAAACTGCCTCATGTCTGTTTTGCGCATTATTATTTCTCTATGAAATTATTACCCTTAAGTTTTATACGATCCTTCCAAAGACGCTTTCACTGGCCATCCTAAATTATGTGCTGCTTGCCATTAAAGTTTCATTTCAGTGTGGAGCATCTGAAATAAAAATTTCTAAGTTGGAAAAAAAAAAAAGACACATGATCCTTTGAAGAGAACATGCAAAAAAGTTTCCTCTTTTAATTTGAAAAGGAGATGCATGCTACATATTTAAGTGTAGCATATCATCATATTTTAAAGGCCATTGAGGACATTTTGAGCATTTCCTTCCCGCGCTCCCCCCACCAGAGTTTCATGTAAGTTTGAAAGCTGTTATGTGTGGATTGCATATCTAAACATCACAGCCTGTCCTTTCATGGCTGCTATTTAAATAAGTATGTGACCTTGTCCTCAAGCTGTGGTACCTAATGTTTCAGTTGTATCATAGCTGAAACTATAGCTCACTGGTATGCACACTAAGTGTTTGTTGATCTAAACCAGGCATAACTCATCTACTTTTCTGAAACCAAGTTGTGTCAGAGATGAGACATCTGCTCAAGGAATCTTCAGTAACCATACAGTGATGAAGCATATAATTGTTATGTTAGCAACAGGACCTGGCAAACGGTATTTTTACTGCAATATTTTAACTACAGTACTTTTACTGTTTACTTCTCTCTAAACTTTGTGGTTGAATTTTGCTTTAGCTGCCAATTTTTCACAGCATTCCTAATGGTTTTCAACTGCTATAATATAGTAGCAAAGCCATCCAGTCATTGAATTTGATTTTAATATAATCCTGTATCATAGTTGGTTGAGTTTTAGTACCTGGCATTATCAATTTTTCAAAGAAAACAAAAAAAAAATAAAGGAAACAAAACCAAAATAACAAAAACGTGGGGGAAAAGGAATGACTTTCTAAAACCAGCCAATTAAAATATTAACTATCCTCTACAAATAAAGCCTCCCATTTATTTTAACCTTTGAATGGTTAATTGCAAAGGGGAAAAAGACTCAAAATACTTAGCCCATCAGTAGATGGAAAACAAACTTCATCTTCAAGGTTAGGGGAGTGATAAGAATTAGTGGGGGAGTGCCAGTATGTGTCAGACTTAAAGCATTTGAATCTGATTTTTCAAGCCAATGAAGTTTTTCATATATCGGTATTTAAAATGTCTTCCATCCACAAAAATTGAATATTGTAAATATCAAGTATAACTGATAATTTATTTTATATATTCCTATGGAAAAAGTAATGGTATTTTAATGTTCTGACATTTGTGATTATTTGCCAGTCTTTACTTTTTAACTTATTAAGGTTTCTCTAATTAAACTTGATAAGTTGTCCTTTGGTTTTTAGGGAAATAACTAAATGTGGGAAATTTACAACCCAACCTTAATATTGGGCTGTGTTTTATAGAGCTAAAGTCAATGCATTTCTGAATTTCTCAGGAGCACTGCAAGGCAAAAAACAACAACAACAACAAAAAAAAACCTCTAAATAAAAATGATATATGTAAGTTGGCAATGTCTTTATCCACAATAAAAATTTTTTTTAGCAAACAGCTGCTGACTTTTTCTTTAGAAGGGGGAGAAATGACTACACATGTTTGTAGCAGCAGTTGATGGACTATGGAAGCTAATGTCTTCAAGCGCTCACCGGATGTTGCCCTTAGGATGCTGTGTGAGCCTTGGAAATGTTAAGTATGAATAACTGAATGGATGCCGAAGATTTTGCATGAAAAGAGGATCTGAGAGATTTTATCCAGCCTTTTAATTTTCTTTTGGAGGTAGCATGCATCATTGGGCTCTTGGTTTTCCAGCAAGATAATCTCAGTTATGTCTTCATCTTTTCTGAGATGTGGAACTTGAATATTTTTAACAGTGCATGTGATGGTAGTATTGGAAGGAGCATGGTTTTTAAAGCTGGGAGTTGGAGTACTGATTTTGATCCCCTCTCTGCGACTTTTAACAAAATTGTCTTGACGATGGGACTGATTTTCATCATTGAACACCCACATAGTAAATGGTCAGATGACATTTATTCACAATATTGAGTAAATGTATCACTTGTGGGAATGCTTTACTTATAAAGCCAATAATTCTACACAGATTTTAGAGGTTGTGATGATTACTACCAAAAAGTGGGTAAGAATGTCGGGTGAGGGTGTTACTGAAGCCAACGGTTGTTTCAAGAAGGTAGGAAGAGGTCAAAAGTGTGAAGTGCTTGTTTCCCTGGCAAGGTAAGTTTTAAGAAGAATCCATTGGATTTAGGGGCCAGTAAGTTGTTGCTTTGAGCTTGAGCCAAGTTCATGGAATGGTGGAAGCAGAAGCCATATTGTCAAGTGGGTTGGGTCAGTGATGAGCAAGTAAAGATGTGTTTGTAGGCGACTCTCTGAGAAGTCAGACTACGAGGGAGAAAGGGAACATGAGTAGATGAGTGGGGTATAGGGAAAGTCATGTTGGACTGGGAGGCTGAAGCCTGTGTGAGCACTCCTGGGAGGACACAGCTTAGCCCAGACCAACAGGCTGAAGACCATGGAGAGAGTTCTTGGGAAGGGGGAACTGATAGAAGTGGAACGCGGAAGGTTGGCCTGAGAGAGGAAGGCTGCGTTTCTTGGGACAGGAGTGAGGAAAGAGAAGGCAGATGACAGGTGGATTGGGGTGGAGGGAAGTTGTGGGAACTTAATTCGATGACACTGGCAGGGAGTTTATCTGCTAAAAATGGGGAGGGGAGGGTCTGAGGCAGAAGAAACCCAGTCATGTGGGAGAGAGAAGGAGGCAAGCTTGCAAATTAGATGTCAGATAAGAAGCAAACAGTTCTTGCCCTTGACCAGCAATTGTGGGATATAAAATGTTACGAACCTGAACCTTGTTTTCCTGTCCTTAGGACTCAGGTCATGTGAACATAGGATATAGCGGAAGGGTTTACAGCATGCCTTTGCCATAATAAATCCAGTGAATTAATCACCCATTATAATTATACCAGTATTTGTCTTGGAGATAAAAATGCAAGAATGTAAATAAATAAAAACTTAAGGCAAATATTTGACCCCTTAATTGGTTTTCTGCCTTGATTCTTCCTGTGCATTGGTCTTTCAGGCCATTAGGGGTTGAGAAATGAATGATTTGCTCTATCTTGATACCATAACTGTGATCATTTTCATCTGTGACTGTTTTCACAAGAGTCCTCTTCTGTTCAGCTCCAGCATCCTTTGACCCTCAGAAATTAAATCTCGATTGAAAATACTATGAACTTAATGTAAGAGTTTGGTGGGGTTGTTTCCTCGTTATCTTTGGCCTGTTAGAAATATAAGCAACATGACTTTTTTCTAAAACGTGGCATTTGGGGATGCCTGGCCACCTCAGTCTGGGGAACGTTTGATTCTTGATCTCGGGGTCATGCGTTTGAGCTCCACTCTGGGTGGAGAGATGACTTTAAAAATAAAATGCTTAAAAAATAATGCGGAAGGGTCTTGTGAGACACTTTCCTCTAGCAA